CTATCTATCTATCTATCTATCTATCTATCTATCTATCTATCTATCTATCTATCTATCTATCTATCTATCTATCTATCTATCTATCTATCAATCTGTGTGTGTGTGTTCCAGCATAACTCTGGAATGCCTCGAGCAATTTCAACCATTAGTAAGACAGATGACTTACTGGAGTCTCTGGTGGGGGTCGGGGAAGGGGCAAAAAGAGCATTTATTTCACCCATTTTTGCCCACCCCCCCAGCCCCAGGAACACTCTGGAAGCCTCCTAAAGGCTATGCACAGCCATTTTTTGCAAAGGGGGCGGGGTTTCGGGAGGCCAAAAACGATGTATTCAGTGTATAAAACGCACCCAGGTTTTCACCCTCTTTTTGGGGGGAATATGGTAATTCTTCTAGGAGAGGGGTGGGTGCTAGCTTTCTTCAGTAATATATTTATATATTGTTAATGTTATATATAATAAACAAGAGATCAGCAGATTGCTTAGAAAATAATTGCTAGACAAGGGTGAGCCAGAACAGAAAATGCACTGATATCATTTGGACGTATCCTTCTGTTTTTCCCTCCAGAATTACCTTGGCAGCCATTGGGATCACGTCCATGATTGTGGGGACTACCTTGGTAGGACAGTTGCCAAATGGACAGTAAGTGGATCTGCTTTTTGTTCATGAAAATGCACTCCTGGAATATAAAAGCTGATAGTCCTCGACTTATGATCAGAATTCTCTGATGCTAAGCAAGGTGTTTGTTAAGTGAGTTGCACCAGATTTTGCTTTTTTTTGCCAGGTTTGTTAAGCAAATGACTGCAATTGTTAGGTGATTCTCGTGGTCGTTAAGCAAATTTTTACCTCCGTCATCGATTTTCCTCGTTGGAAGCACGCTGGGGAGGTTGAAAATGTGAATCACATGACCTCAGGGCCCTGCAATCATCGTAAATACCGGCCCATTGCCAAGCACCCAAATTCTGATCACATAACCGTAGGAATTCTGCAACAGTCATGTGCGGACTGGTTGTAAGTCACCTTTTTAGAGTCCTTGTAACTTTGAATGGTCACTGAACGAATGGTTGTATGAGCCGCGGTGGCGCAGTGGTTAGAGTGCAGTACTGCAGGCTACTTCTGCTGCCTGCCGGCTGCCTGCAATGTGGCCGTTCGAATCTCACCAGGCTCAAGTTTGACTCAGCCTTCCATCCTTCCAAGTTAGGTAAAATAGGGACCCAGATTGTTCAGGGCAATAGGTTGACTCTGTAAACTGCTTAGAGAGGGCTGTAAAGCACTGTAAAGCGGTATATAAGTCTAAGTGCTATTGCTATTGTAAGTAGAGATCATCTGCAATGGCAACCTTATGGCCATATTGTTTAGTGGTGGAATTTCTGATCCAAATTACCCTTGTTAAGTAGGACTACCTGTATTATTGGATTTCATTTCTTTCATTGTTGGCTGGCTGGAGCAGCCAATTCCGCAGGTCTTAAAGTTGCCAAGTTTAAGTCCGCGTGACTTTTTTTACAGTGATAATTTTTTTTATTTTAAACACATAAACACATCAACAAAAACAAACAC